TGCCGTTCAAAATAAAATAAAAAATTTTAAATATATTAGTATTGGTATCTTCGCGAGTATTGTGGTTTACAGTACTTCAAGAGTTACAGTGTTAGCAGCTGAAAATGACTTGGATATTAAAAAATTTATGGCACAACCAATTACTGATATTAAGGAATTAAAGAAGAAAAATGATATGAGAAAGAAAATGGAATTATTAGTAATGAAAACTCAAGCAGATTTTTGTAAAGCTTTAGAGTCTTTAGAAGATTCAGATTATCATTTTAAAGTTGATAGATGGACTAGAAAGGAGGGGGGTGGAGGAATTACTTGTGTTTTACAAGATGGAGTTGTTTTTGAAAAAGCTGGTGTAAATGTATCTGTTGTTACTGGTACATTGCCTCCAGGTGCAGTACAGCAAATGAGAGCACGTGGAAAAAAAATGCAAGAAGGATCTGTACCATTCTTTGCAGCTGGTGTAAGTGCTGTAATTCATCCACGTAATCCCATGATTCCAACAATACATTTCAATTATCGTTACTTTGAAGTAGAAAATCAAGATGGTTCAATTCAGTGGTGGTTTGGAGGTGGTACTGATCTCACACCTTACTATTTAAATGAAGATGATGTAAAACATTTTCATAATAGTTTAAAAGTTGCATGTGATGAACATGATCCTTCGTATTACCCAAAATATAAAAAATGGTGTGATGATTATTTTTTTATAGCACATAGAGGAGAACGAAGAGGAGTAGGTGGTATTTTTTTTGATGATATTGACAGTCCAAACCAAGAAGAAGCGTTTGAATTTGTAAAATCATGTGCAAAAGCTATAATTCCTTCTTACATTCCATTAGTTGAAAAACACAAAAATGATGCATATGGATATGCTGAAAGGCAGTGGCAGCTATTACGTAGAGGAAGATATGTTGAATTTAACTTAATATACGATCGTGGCACAAAGTTTGGTTTATATACACCTGGTGCAAGATATGAAAGTATATTAATGTCTTTGCCCTTATCTGCAAAATGGGAATATATGCATACACCAAAACCAGATTCAAAAGAAGCAAAACTTATTGAAGTATTAAGAAATCCTAAAGATTGGCTAAACTAGAATAGGTATTTGCTAATAAAATTTATAATTTAAAATGATATAATATTGTAATTATTTTTATTAAATAAATGAATTTACTTTCCTAAATAATTTATTCAAAAAAAGCAGTTGCATGGCTGCAGATAAAAATATAAAGTCATTTTAGAATACTTTTAAAACACTTAAATATATTTTTCAAGTACAAGAAGGAAGTTACACATATAAAAGTTATATTCAAGAAATTAAATAGTGCATAAATAATAAATCATTTTGTGTATAAAAATTTCACCTGATATTGATACATA